GAGAATGTGGGGAAAAGACGGACTTTTCACAAATGTTCGAGCTGATAATAGATAAGGCGGACGATATACACAACAAATAAGACTGAAAAAGGCTTTGGCAAATTTTCTGACAAAATTCTCAGACTTGGCTTTGGTTAGCGTAGAATCCTCACCCACCTTCCAAACGGGTTGGCTGGGAATTCTGGAAATTGTAGTCTCAGTATAACTGGAACATACCAAGAAGGGTCTAGAACTATGTGTGGATGTAAAAAGGATGATGGCCCAATCCTATGCATGTCTGCTCAGAAGAAAGCCCCGCTGAGATCTTTGGAAAGTGGGTATAGGATCGTGGCCTAGGCAGGACCCTTAAAATAGTTAACATCAATAGGATTGGCATGTAGAGCACTGGTCATCCCAAATACACCTAGTGGGGAATAAAACCCATCAAGCGCAATGAGATTTCCAGGTCAACATCTCGGGTATTCTAACAGGGAACTTTTACTCCATCCTTTTCAATGGCCACACTTTTCTTCCGCTGTAAACGGGAGCAAAGGTGGTGCGCGCGCGTCCCGTCCTCCCTCGATCCTTCTTCTTTCCCGCGCTCGGCCGAAAATGTGTCTCCTCGCACGGGTGACTTCGGGGACGAACCTGGAAGGCTCCTGCTTGGCGGCCTCTGTCCTAGAGTGAGCTTGTAGATCAAGCCGTGGGAGGACGGGCTGTCCTGGGAGGCTGGGGTCCAGTCGTGCACCAGCCAGCACAGCAAGCCATGGCGAGAGGGGAGCCGGAGGCGACTCGGAGCCCGCTCGGAGCCACGGCACACACCCACTTGCAGGGCGGGGTGCGGTGGAGTGGGGGGGACTGTCAGAGCCCGCTGGGCTGCGCTTCCGTCTCTCTCGCCTGGAGATTTGACGGGAGCTTTCCAGGGCCAAGTGCTGAGGAACGAAAGTGAGGCCGGCTTGCCAGGCATCGGGGCTCCGCTCGGGGTTTTTCTTTCCCCGGACCGAGAGGCGGGAAGAAAGAAGATGACGCTACTCTACCACAGCCACTGCTGCTGCTCCTGACAAGAGCAGCAGATGCTGCCTGTGGCGCCTCCTCTCCCTTTACGGGAGCTGGACCGTGGGCGCGGCGGAGCGCCTTCCTCCCCCAGCCCGATCTCTCCTTTTTCCAAGCCATTTGACCCTGCCATGGAGCTGAAGCAAATCGCGTGAAATTGCCTCCAAGGATTACATCGCCGTCCCATTGAAAGGCCCCCGAGCCCCTGGTTTACCAACCTCCTAATCCCATGTCACTCGGCTGCCGCAAACAACCCCCCAGTGAAAGGCCCCCTATTCTTCCGCAGCTGGAGGGGCCCTTCGCCGTCGGCCGTGGCGGACGGAGCTTGCCCTTGCGCGCGCTTCAAAAAGGAGCTTCGCTCTTCCCCGGATTAGAAGAGGGGCCGGGCTGTCACGCCTGACAAGCCCTCAAAGCCACCACCGAAACCCACGACCTCTTCCTTTCCTGAACGCTGGCCTGGCTCGGCGGCGGCGGGGAACACCTAACAGGCCCCGGCCAGGGCACACCAGGCTTTTCTCGTTTTAATCCATGATTCAGCTATGAAAGCGGCTCCGGCAAGGTAGGAAGGTAAAACAAGCCTCTCTACAAATCCCACCTAAGGCTTCCCAGGAAGTTTCACAAATCCAAGCCCCGCTTTCTTCTTTTTCTAAGACACTTTCCCCCTCCCCTTGTAGCCTTCTCTAGGTCCAAAGGCTGTTTTCTGTACACACTCAATGGCGAAAAATGGAAATACCATTTCACTTTGGATAATCCGCCAAGAAACAACTGAAGCCAACTTCTCCTGAATTGCTTCCTTGTAAAATTAATGCCATATATGGATAAGGAATGGTTGCACAGCACACCTCATGTATACATCACATACTCTCATTGCCACCTCCCCCCACAACATACACATACAGCTGATAGGAAATGACAGTAATTGGTCACAATACAGTAACACTGTAATAACCTAGAAGAGAGCCTGTCTTGTCCCGCAAAGGAAGAGTTTTGGTAAAGAATTTAAGAAAAGGTTCACTGAGTGGAAGGCCTCTGCGATAAGGATGGCAAATTATGCTTCTGTGGATTTTTCTCCCCTCAGAATTTGCATTCACACACACCCAGTGGGCTCTTCAGCATGTTTGTTTTTATGAACAAACTGCAATTCTTCCAAATAACCATAAATTTAACTGACACCATCTTATACACATATGTATTTTGGAGTATATATATTTAAAAACGCCATAGGTGCAAAAATATTTTTATAGGAAAAAGAACATTTGCCCCTGGACATGATTAACAGTAGAGTTTGAAGTGCATATTTTACTTTAAAGAAAAGGGAATCATTATCAATCCATTATGCATTAAGAAATGTCACTCAGTCATTTTTATTCATTCCACAGAAATCCTTGTAAAAGCCAGAATCATACTTCTGCAGGCAGCAATTTTGTTAATCCAGGGGGGTTATTACTCTGGTCCCTTATTAGGATCTATACTACTGCCAAGCAATCCTATAACCATCTCAAAAGAAGTTTACCTTCATGTTATAAAACCAGTAGTGGTATTTATACTGTGCAATAATTAGTGTATTACTTGAATCCACTAACAGGTTCATTTTATCTCTGCACAAAACCTCTAGCCTGCTTATAGAAAGCTTGTGCCTCCTTTGGTGCTGTTAAAGTGGTAAAAGAGTGAATGAAGGCTGGTAGCACTCTCTCTTTTTGCCTTGCCTTAATTCCCATCTCTTTCTGCTCTCATCCAATTAGTGCAGTGTATTAAGCAGTTTATCATCTCATAGTCAGCTATTGAGAGAAACAAGGCGAACACTTTGCAATAGAGCCTGCTCTCCTTTGACACCCTCAGGTACTTACATATTCCACTGTGCTATGAATAATAGAGGAAGAATAGAGCACTAATTCCCTCATCAAAGAATGCCTTGTCTGCTGCTTTGCTCAACAACACCATTCTGATCAAAAGAAAAGCAATAAAGCTTAGCATAACAAAACGAAACCTACTTATTAGCTTAGTGGTTAAATTAATGCAGAGCCGCTGCTATTCAAAACCAAGGTTTGAAAACAGCCTCCAACAACCTGATAATGCTGCCTTCAGGATGAAGGAATTTTAATCTGAAATCTGAAGCTGGCACAGATGAGTTAATCTATTAAACAGCTATAAGAGGAGTGCAGGATGAGCGGTTCAATTAAGAAATATTTAGGTGCTCAACAGAAGAGAGGCAAAGAAGGCAAGATGAAAAATAGGCTGAAGTTGGGAAATAGAAAAGTAATTTTTATCTAGCAAGAAATGATTCTGGCACAAGATGAAACAATTCATTGGGTTCCTTTCTTTTAATAAATACTATCTGTGAAGTCTGGCTTCTGAGCTTATGTATCAAAACCTCCTTCCCCGTCCATCAACCTAACTTTGTTGTTATTTTTAACTTCACACAGAAAAAAGGGAGAAGGGAGGGTAACTGAGCCACTCACACTTTTCAGTGTTTTCCAATTCTACAGTACAATGTATTTAACATGCACATAAGAAAGATGGGTTTGCATTTCTTAGCTTTTCCACAGTTAAAATAAGGTGAAACAGTCAAAGTAGGTTGTGTAGTCAGAGACGGTCATATCAGTAGCAGATTTAGCTGACTAAACATTTAGACATTTACTTGTAACAAAGCTTTGAACAAGCTAGCTTTATTTATCTTAGGGGGCAAAAATACCTTCCCTAGTAATTAAGATGAAATGCAAAATTCCATTATGAAATTTATATTTGTATGATTTTTAAATCTGTAGAAGTAAAATATTTGCTTAATTTTTCTGCAAAATTCTATGTAATAATAATGTATGTGAAATTATAGTCTTGCTGAGGCTATGTCATGTGCTTATCTGCATATACATGTTCGTAATTTTTAATTTCCTCATATTTTACAAATAAATGTTCTGAACATGGGATATGCCAAAACCTGTGCAGTATTTGTAAATATATTATTCTAATTAAGGATGAAAATGTGCTCTTATCCCTCAAAGTTGGAGCTACTATAATTGGCCCGCTTATATAGTAGTAACAGGTACAAATAAAGCATGACCATCCATATGATAGTCTCCTTTAAGCAATACTGAAATTATATACTGGGAAAATAGAACATGGCACAGTGAACTTCCCTAATCCAGAGCTGTTTACAAAGACATTTCACTCTACATCAGGGTTTCTCAACCTCAGCAACTTTAAGATGTGTGGACTTCAACTCCCAGAATTCCCCCCCCCGGCCCTTGGGTGGGGGGTTTTTGGGGGTTGTGGCCATTAAACCTAAAATTTAATAAGGTGAGGAAAACCCCTCCTAATTCATTGCAACGCG